TCGGTTTTTACTGTAAATACGGCTGGGACTTCCTGGAGCACACCTACCTCTACCACCTGACCCGGCGGGACATCCGCCACAACTTCTCCCCGTACTTCTACATGCTGTACCTGACCGCCGAGAGCGTGGGCGGCCTTGCCCTGGGCCTGGCGGCCTTCCTGCCCCAGGCCGTCCTGCTGGCGGCCGTGTCTTTCGCCTACCACAGGGACCTTGCCTTCTGCTGCTTTCTTCACACGGCCATTTTTGTGACGTTTAACAAAGTCTGCACCTCGCAGTACTTCCTCTGGTACCTCTGTCTGCTGCCCCTGGTGATGCCGCGGGTGCGAATGCCCTGGAGAAGGGCGGTGGTGCTCCTGGGGCTGTGGTTCGCGGGGCAGGCCCTGTGGCTGGCACCGGCCTATGTGCTTGAGTTTCAAGGAAAGAACACCTTTTTGTTTATCTGGTTAGCTGGCTTGTTCTTCCTTCTTATCAACTGTTGCATCCTCATTCAGATCATTTCCCATTACAAGGAGGAACCGCTGGCGGAGAGACGCAAACATGACTAGTGTATGTTCCGGTTCATCTGCCACTATCCATCTCTTACGTGCTGGTGGTTCTGAATGGACCAGAAGAGAGCTTTGGACAAATGTTGAGCATCCTAAGCACGCCCGTGAAAGTTCAGTTTGGAGCCTAATACCTGTTCCAATGAGTTAAGATAAATGTTTACCTTATGTATAAAGAGGACTCAGAAATTGGGGTCTACCTTTAGGAAATGGAAGGGCTGTTTGAAAATAGAAGGGCTGATTAAACTTTCGGATGTTAAAAGGTTTTTTGTGGGTTTTTTTAAAGAAAAATACAGGAATGTAATCAGACACATAAGGTCTAAGCCAGTATTTGCTCCAGTTATACTATGCTACTGTCAGAAGCAGTCTTATCTTTTAACCCCCACTGTTTCCATCTAAAGCTCTCACGATAGCTGTGAAAACTCACAAAATGTTCCTAAAGTACAGATTTTAGATATGAATTGTTAAGTACCAGTACTGTGTTTAGGTTGGCAAAGTTAATTCTGTATTAATGGGGGCTTAGAAGATAAAGAATCCAAAGAATTTAAATTATAATCCAATCACATGTACAGGTATTTCTTTTATAGCTTAGTTTTTCAACATTTAGTCCCAGTGGTATTAGATTACCTTTTGATTTTATACCAAAGGGTTACATTTAAGTTCATCCATTTTTAAATTTGAATTATTACGTATTTTAAAATAGCATTTTGCTTTTGATGTTTGAGGTCTATAAACTCATTTTACCCTTTGTTTTTAATTTTCTGATATTAAAAATATTTTTCATTTAGAATTTCAGTGTTAATCTATATTGTAAAAATGAACATTGGTAGATTTTAGGTGATTAAAAAACAGATTGTTAGCAAGACATTTCCCAGCTTAAAAGTACCCCAATTATGAAAATTCCATAATAGAAATAGAGACCTGCACGAGAGGCTCCTGGAAAGTGTAAGAAGCATCCAAAGTGTCCATTAGTCTCAGACCAGGAAATTGAGAGACAGATAGTGGAAATGAGGATTTGCAGATCAATTTCCCTTATTACTACAGTATTTCTGGGGTAAAAATGCTTTCTGAGTTTCAACCAATCACCCTTAAAACTTTTTTTTTTTTTTTTTTACATAGCCCATTAGGTTGGGGATTCCCTAACACTAACCTGCAATGGTAATATATGAGTTGGATTTTTTTATTGTGATTTTAAAAGATGAGTATTTTAACAACATTGTTCTTTCACAGTAGACAACAATAACAAACTAACAAAATCCCTCCAGAGTAGTATGTTGTATGTCAGGCCACGCTTAAAAAAACCTTTGAGAACAAGATGTCTGTAGGCTGTCGCAGCGTTTTGATGGATATCTTTTGAGACCTGCTATTAGAAAAAAGGGAAGAATGTTGGCTTTGCATGGGTTGTTGTTTTTGTGAAAATAACAGATAACTGAGGACTGACTTTTTTATATCCCACATTAGGTATTATCTTGTAGTCTCTTAGTATATGACTGCTCACTAGTGACCTTTCAGCCATGTCATTCTTAACTTCATTTTTTTCATTCTTTTATAATAGTAATTAAAATATTTTTGGTAGAACTGGCAGGGAAAGGGGTGGGTAACAGAAGTTTAACATCCTAATATAATTATCTTTTTGGTATTCCAACTTTTTTAAAAAGAGTCATATTTACTTATTAATTTTCTTTTATGTGTGATTAATCGCTATGCTTTAATTATGCTCAATTTGTAACAATGAATATACATCCTGCATATCAGACATTTACATTACGATTCATAACAGTAGCAAAATTACAGTTATGAAGTAGTGTTGGGATCCTGCCCCAGCAGGTCCAGGGGTTCCCAAAGGTGTGGACGGAGTTGGTGAAGAAGAAATGACACAGAGACGGTGTTCAGTTGATCAGCAGCCTAGCCAGGTTCTCTAGCCAGGTTCTCTCGCCAGGTTCTCCAGCTAGGTTCTCAATTTTCTTTTTTTCCCAACATTTTTATTGTAGCGTACTCTTCATAACTACATTGAAATTACAAGGAAGTTAACCTTGTAAATGCATCATTCTTACACAATGAGACCTTTAAGATTACTTTTAATATCTAAATAAGACTAAACATTTTTCATGTTTTAGATCATTCCCTTAACATTCTTAGAAGTCAGTAGAGTTCTGTTGGGGTCTTTGAAGGGAACTTCAATTCCAGATCCTGCCCTGCAAGAAATTCTCTACCAAAGAACTATAGGCATCTCTCTTTTTTTTTCCCCCATATTTTTTATTGATTTTTCACAGAGAGGAAGGGAGAGGGATAGAGAGTTAGAAACATTGATGAGAGAGAAACATCAATCAGCTGCCTCCTGCACACACCCCACTGGGGATGTGCCTGCAACCAAGGTACATGCCCTTGACTGGAATCGAACCTGGGACCCTTCAATCTGCAAGCTAACGCTCTAGCCATTGAGCCAAACTAGCTAGGGCTAGGCATTTCTTAAAAGGTGCAGAAAGTACCCAGCCGGCATGGTTCAGTGATTGAGCCTTGACCTACGAACCAGGAGGTCATTGTTCAATTCCCGGTCATGGCACATGCCTGGGTTGCAGGCTGCATCCCCAATGTGGGGCGTGCAGGAGGTAGTCAAATGACTCTGTCATCATTGATGTTTCTATTTCTCCCGTTCTCTCTGAAATCAATACAAATATTAAAAAAAAAACCAACTCCTTCTTGAGTCTAGAGTTAAACCTTTTCCCCCAACCTAATGGATATAGGAAAAGAACCTGGATTTGTACTAAATAATTGTTTTAACTACATGTTACTATTAACTTTATTCCTTCTGATCTCGATCTGGTTCTTTGAAATGGTAGTAGTTATACATGAAGATGTCTGTAAAGATTTCTCAGATGTCTCGTTCCGTCTTGACAATTTTGTATTTGTGTATTCCTGCCATAAATTAGCTGACTCTAATGAGTGGAGGTTTGGCTCACGCCCACAGATTACACAGCATTTCTTTTCTCCATTGTGTTGAGGGGTCATCCAGGGATTGATGGAAGCACATGTCTTCTGCCTGGATCAGAATCATCAGAGTAGCACAAGCATTTATTCAGCACTGACCCAGGAGAACCATTCATTTAGTCAAAACAAGCATTCATATTCATTATCCTGAACAAAAATCACACTAAATGGGAATGTTTCTAGCTGCTCAGACACTTTGCTAACTATATCTGCTATATAAAATAAAATGACACTTACAGCAACTATTTAAAAATAAGAGTATGAATATTTGAAGCTCAGTTCATTTCACAAAGGAAATTTTCAACCTTCTCGGTTGTCCATTCTTGTGGCAATTATTTATAGATTTAGGCCCTGTGCTGAGTCTTGTAATAGATGAGTAAGATAGCGTCCATGCTCTTGACGAATTAACACTAAAGACTAACATACCTTATTAATAAAATGCTATACGTTAGCTGGTTTGGCTCAGTGGATAGAGTGTTGGCCTGCGAACTGAAGGGTCCCAGTTCGATTCCAGTCAAGGGCACATGCCTGGGTTGTGGGCTCGACCCTCAGTAGGGGGTGTGCAGGGGGCAGCCGATCAATGATTCTCATCAATGTTTCTATCTCTCCCTCTCCCTATCTTAAATCAATAAAAATATATTAAAATAAACAAAATGCTACATGAGACCCTATTCCACAATAGTAATGTGATTTGTAAAATGGCAAAGTAGAGAATAATACTCTTATTAGTTTACAGGTTAGAAAGTTGAGGCTCATAAACAAATGGCTTTCCAAGGGCAAATACCTTGTAAATGGCAAGACTAATCTAACAATTCTGCTGTATTTTGCAAGTCCTTAATTCCATAGGATGACAGGTGATTACAATGAAAAGCATTTACCAAATGTTACTTAGGAAACTACCTAGCAAAAGGCTGTATCTTCTATGTGCCAGGCATTGTTCTAGGTATTTTGGATACAGCTGTGAGGCATTCTGTCTTCATGGAGCTGACGGTTTTATGGGACACAAAGGATGAGCAAATACATGATTGTGATGATTGTCATAAAGAAAAACTAAGGCAAGCGAAGGAAGTAGAAAGCGATGGCAGGAGAGGAGTGGATGCTGTTTTAGATAAAGTACTTCGGGAAGGCATCTTGAGGTGGCATTTGAGCAGGGCCCGAAAAGAAGTGAAGACATGATATTCATGTAGCTATCTGGGGGACAGAGTATACCTTGCTGAGTGAAAAACAGTGTAAAGGCACTGAGAGAGGAATGAGCTTGGCATGTTTAAAATACAGCAAGGCCCAGCTGGCATGGCTCAGTGGTTGAGTGCTGACCTATGAACCAGGAGGTCAGGGTTCAATTCCCAGTCAGGGCACATTGCCCGGCATTGTGGGCTCGGTCCCCATTGTGGGGTGTGCAGGAGGCAGCCAAATCAGTGATTCTCTCTCAGCATCGATGTTTCTCTCTCTCTCCCTCTCCCTTCCTCTCTGAAGTCAATACAAATATATTTAAAAAAATAAAATACAGCAAGAAGGTGAGTATAATGAGTTGTGAGTAAGGAACAAACAGGATGTAATTCACAGCATACAGTAGGACAACATGAATGCTAGTTGAAAAATACATTTTACACTAGCATTTTTACCACCCTGTAATAATAACTGGGCTCAACCTATTTCCCTCCCGACTGAGCACAGATTAATTTGTAAGAAAGATGAAACATAGGAACAACTTATATTTGAGCAGTGCTACAAAATACTTTCACACATTATTTTGAGACATGAGGATTTTTTTTTTTAATTCTGGTTTTATAAATGAGAATCCTAAGTCTCAGAATATATGCATTTTGCCCACAGTCAGAGTTAGTACACGAGACAGGGCCCAGAATCAGTTCTTCCAGAGCCAAGTTTACTACTGTTTCTGTTCTGCC